AATAAACAGACACTGGAGTGAGTAAGCACAAATCATAGATTAAACAAACATTCCTGTGAGTCAGCATAAATCATAGAATAAACAGACACTTGAGTCAGCATAAATCATAGAATAAACAGACACTGGAGTGAGTAAGCATAAATCATAGATTAAACAGACATTCCTGTGAGTCAGCATAAATCATAGAATAAGCAGACACCACTGTGAGTCAGCATAAATCATAGACTAAACAAGCATTACAGTGACCCAGCACAAATCATAAGTTAAACAGACAACACAGTGAGTCAACATAAATCATAGAATAAACAGACACTACTGTGAGTCAGTTTCAATCTTAGAATAAACAAGCATTACAGTGATTCAGTATACATCATAGAATAAACATACATTCCAGTGACTCAGCATAAATCATAGAATAATCAGACACCATTGTGAGTCAACGTCAATCATAGAATAAGCATGCATTACAGTGAGTTATCTTAAATCATAGAATAAACAGACACCACAGTGAGTCAGCATAAATCATAAAATAAAGAGACACCACAGTGAGTCAGCATAAATCATAGAATAAAGAGACACTACAGTGAGTCAGCAGAAATCATAGAACAAACAGGCTCTACAGTGACTCAGCATAAATCATAGAATAAACAGGCACCACAGTGAGTTAGCATAAATCATAGAATAAACAGACACTGGAGTGAGTAAGCATAAATCATAGATTAAACAAACATTCCTGTGAGTCAGCATAAATCATAGAATAAGCAGACACCACAGTGAGTAAGCATAAATCATTGAATAAACAGACACCACTGTGAGTCAGCATAAATCATAGACTAAACAAGCATTACAGTTACCCAGCACAAATCATAAGTTAAACAGACAACACAGTGAGTCAGCATAAATCATAGAATAAACAGGCATTACAGTGAATCAGCATAAATCATAGATTAAACAGACACCACTGTGAGTTAGCATAAATCATAGAATAAACAGACACCACAGTGAGTCAGAATTAATCATAAAATAAACAGGCATTACAGTGAGTCAGCATAAATCATAGATTAAACGGACACCACTGTGTGTTAGCATAAATCATAGAATAAACAGACACCACCAGTGAGTCAGAATAAATCATAAAATAAACAGGCATTACAGTGAGTCAGCATAAATCATAGGTTAAACAGACAACACAGTGAGTCAGCATAAATCATAGAATAAACAGGCATTACAGTGAGTCAGCATAAATCATAGATTAAACAGACACCACTGTGTGTTAGCATATATCATAGAATAAACAGACACCACAGTGAGTCAGAATATATCATAAAATGAACAGGCATTACAGTGAGTCAGCATAAATCATAGAATAAACAGACACCACAGTGAGTCAGAATAAATCATAAAATAAACAGGCATTACAGTGTGTCAGCATAAATCATAGAATAAACAGACGCTACTGTGAGTCAACTTGAATCTTAGAAAAAACACGCATTACAGTGAGTAAGTATAACTCAGAGAATAAACAGACACTGCAGTGAGACAGCATCAATCATAGAATAAACAGACACCATTGTGAGTCAACGTCAATCATAGAATAAGCATGCATTACAATGAGTTATCATAAATCATAGAATAAACAGACGCCACAGTGAGTCAGCATAAATCATAGAATAAACATACACTACAGTGACTCAGCATAAATCATAGAATAAACAGGCACTACAGTGACTCAGGATAAATCATAGAATAAACAGACACCACAGTGAGTCAGCATAAATCATTGAATAAACAGACATTCGAATGAGTCAGCATAAATAATCAATTAAACAGACACCACAGTGAGTCAGCACAAATCATGGAATAAACAGACACCACTGAGAGTCAGCATAAATCATGGAATAAACAGGCATGACAGTGAGTCAGCATAAATCATACAATAAACAAACACCACAGTGAGTCAGCATAAATCATAGAATAAACAGACACTGGAGTGAGTAAGCATAAATCATAGATTAAACAGACATTCCTGTGAGTCAGCATAAATCATAGAATAAGCAGACACCACTGTGAGTCAGCATAAATCATAGACTAAACAAGCATTACAGTGACCCAGCACAAATCATAAGTTAAACAGACAACACAGTGAGTCAGCATAAATCATAGAATAAACATACACTACTGTGAGTCAGCTTCAATCTTAGAATAAACAAGCATTACAGTGAGTCAGTATACATCATAGAATAAACATACATTCTAGTGACTCAGCATAAATCATAGAATAAACAGACACCATTGTGAGTCAACGTCAATCATAGAATAAGCATGCATTACAGTGAGTTATCATAAATCATAGAATAAACAGACACCACAGTGAGTCAGCATAAATCATAAAATAAAAGAGACACCACAGTGAGTCAGCATAAATCATAGAATAAAGAGACACTACAGTGAGTCAGCAGAAATCATAGAACAAACAGGCACTACAGTGACTCAGCATAAATCATAGAATAAAGCAGGCACACAGTGAGTTAGCATAAATCATAGAATAAAACAGACACACATAGAAGTGAGTAAAACAGCTGAAATAAAGACAAATCATAGATTAAACAAACATTCCTGTGAGTCAGATAAAATCATAGAATAAAGCAGACACCACAGTGAGTAAGCATAAATCATTTAAAACAGACATTCCTGAATAAACAGACACCACTGTGAGTCAGCATAAATCATAGACTAAACAAGCATTACAGTTACCCAGCACAAATCATAAGTTAAACAGACAACACAGTGAGTCAGCATAAATCATAGGTTAAACAGACAACACAGTGAGTCAGCATAAATCATAGAATAAACAGGCATTACAGTGAATCAGCATAAATCATAGATTAAACAGACACCACTGTGAGTTAGCATAAATCATAGAATAAACAGACACCACAGTGAGTCAGAATAAATCATAAAATAAACAGGCATTACAGTGAGTCAGCATAAATCATAGATTAAACAGACACCACTGTCAGTAAATCATGAAATAAACAAGCATTACAGTGTACCAGCATAAATCATAGAATAAACAGACACCACAAATGAGTCAGAATAAATCATAAAATAAACAGGCACAGTGAGTCAGCATAAATCATAGGTTAAACAGACAAACACAGTGAGTTAGCATAAATCATAGAATAAACAGGCATTACAGTGAGTCAGCATAAATCATAGATTAAACAGACAATTCACTGTGTGTTAGCATATATCATAGAATAAACAGACACCACAGTGAGTCAGAATAAATCATAAAATAAACAGGCATTACAGTGAGTCAGCATAAATCATAGAATAAACAGACTCAGCATTGTGAGTCAGGCATGGAGGAATCATAGAATAAACAGACATTACAGTGAGTCAGCAGCCAAATCATAGAATAAACAGACACCATTGTGAGTCAACGTCAATCATAGAATAAGCATGCATTACAGTGAGTTATCATAAATCATAGAATAAACAGACGCCACAGTGAGTCAGCATAAATCATAGAATAAACATACACCACAGTGAGTCAGCATAAATCATAGAATAAACAGACACCACAGTGAGTCAGCATAAATCATAGAATAAACAGACACCACAGTGAGTCAGCATAAATCATAGAATAAACAGGCATACACATAGATTAAACAGACACTGCAGTGAATCAGCATAAATCATAGAATAAAGAAGCATGACAGTGAGTCAGCCAAAATCATAGAATAAACAAACACTGGAGTGAGTAAGCATAAATCATAGATTAAACAGACATTCCTGTGAGTCAGCATAAATCATAGAATAAGCAGACACCACAGTGAGTCAGCATAAATCATTGAATAAACAGATACCACTGTGAGTCAGCATAAATCATAGACTAAACAAGCATTACAGTGAGTCAGCATAAATCATAAGTTAAACAGACAACACAGTGAGTCAGCATAAATCATAGGTTAAACAGACAACACAGTGAGTCAGCATAAATCATAGAATAAACAGGCATTACAGTGAGTCAGAATAAATCATAGAATAAACAGACACCACAGTGAGTCAGCATAAATCATAGAATAAGGAGACACTGCACTGAGTCAACATAAATCATAGAATAATCAGGCATTACAGTGAGTCAGCATAAATCATAGAATAAACAGGCATTACAGTGAGTCAGCATTAATCATAAGAATAAACAGACACCACAGTGACTCAGCATACATAATAGAATAAACAGGCATTACAGTGAGGCAGCATAAATTATAGAATAAACAGACACCACTGTGAGTCAACATAAATCATAGATTAAACCGACACCACAGTGAATCAGCATAAATCATAGAATAAACAGACACCACAGTGACTCAGTATAAATCATAGAATAAGCAGACAGTACAGTGAGTCAGCATAAATCATAGAATAAACAGACATCACTGTGAGTCAGCATAAAACATAAGTTAAACAGACAACACAGTGAGTCAGCATAAATCAAAGAATAAACAGGCATTACAGTGAGTCAGCATAAAACATAAATTAAACAGACATCACAGTGACTCAGCATAAATTATAGAATAAACAGACACCACAGTGACTCAGCATAAATCATAGAATAAACAGGCATTACAGTGAGTCAGCATAAATCATAGAATAAAGAGACCTTCCAGTGAGTGATAGTAGTAGTAGTGGTAGTAGTAGTAGTAGTAGTAGTAGTAGTAGTAGTGATAGTAGTAGTAGTAGTGATAGTAGTAGTAGTAGTAGTAGTAGTAGTAGTAGTAGTAGTAGTAGTGGTAGTAGTAGTAGTAGTAGTAGTAGTAGTAGTAGTAGTAGTAGTAGTAGTAGTGGTGGTAGTAGTAGCAGTGATATGGTACTGGTAGTAGAGGAAGTCGTAGTATCAGCATTTGTAGGATATGCCCTTGTTCAATACTCGACAATACCGGTTTATTTACCAGCGAGAGTCTACATTTATCCACATGTATCCCTTCCTGCAGATGTGCGCGCCCCGATATGTTGACTTAGAGTTCGAGGCACAAAACTATGCGTTCGTCACTGGACGATGCATCACAGCCAAAGATACAGACGTCAAATACTCGTATCCGTTGAAAATCTCGAAGGCAGACGGCTATCTTAAGACCAGAGCAGGGTCTTCCAAGTACATATACTGGAACGGTATGGGAGAGAGCGGAATGTCAGGTGATATAATGGAGGTAAGGAATATGATGCTTATGATGATATAAATCATCAACATTATAATCATTCAATCAGAATAGAGTATCCAATACTTATGTGCCATCCTTGTGGTGATCGTTCATATAATTATTACAATTATTGTTTGTGCTGTTAATATTAATAGCATGATAATGAGCATAACGCTTAATGTGTCTTTTTTAAATCTAACTTATCTTTTTTCACAAATTGTGTGTGATAGCTTCTTTGTAAGATGTGAAACCTAGATGATTTGGAGTTATTACTTCAGTTAACTGTCCTAAACTACATTTTGCAAAATATCCCATACTGTTTAAAGGTACTGTTTACACATGAACTGATTTATTGAAAAACGATTTCGTAACGTTGAAAAGATTATTGTCATGAGTTCAATAAATGATGAAACTCAGTGGAAATTGGCGAATTAGTAACAAAACCTTACACCAAAACGCAGCTGTGCACATGCACGATATTTGCACATATTTGCACGATCCTCGTGCAATTCATCTGCATAGAGTTTGCAGTTGGTTCCATCAAGAGAAATTCATCTTCATTGTAACCATATATGCATAACATATAGTGAATGCTTTAAGTGAGTCTAAACTTTTGATGGGTAGTATATTTGTCCAACATTGTGTTTTCTGTCATTGTGGAATTCTTCCCTACTTCCGAGTAGTGTTTCAGCTTCCTGTTCTCATTTCAGGACGGTTCAGTTCTACTAGGGATCCCAGGCTTCAAGGAGTGGAGTGGTTTGTTACCAGACTTCGTTATACATCAGAATCATATCTATAGTTTAGACCTCAGTGCTGCCACTTTGGTAGCAATGGGTTGGGGTTTTATTTACTTTCACATCATTTTTTTTATCGAAGGTTCCAGTTTTCCTATGGTGTTTAGTATGATGGCTGATTAGGGCCATCGCTTTCTCGCATAATCATACTACAGAGAGAAATTTCAAATGCATCAAATGTATTGAATTGACGAGATATTTCGGTTTAATAATATGTTATTCTACCGAAGGGGGACATTAGGTTTTTTTGTGAGAGTTGAACATTCCTACATAACACGCATCACAGCCAAAAGGCATATTTCCTGAGGAAACTCTGCAAAGTTTTAGCTTTAGTCTAATGAAAACAAGAAACATTGTAACAGCTGAAACAATTTATTGCTCGAACGGGTCTTTTCCACTTAAACTATAGTCTGTTAGCAGTGAAAACGTTTGCAGTGAAAACCAAAAAATAAATCGAATAAAGTGAAATTAAGATTATTGAATCCTCATAATTTTACCTTGCCAATTGAAAATTTAAATCTCAGACTTAAATTCAACTTAAGATAAAAGTTGTTTAACAAACGATCATCGTTTCATATCGCTACTATTGGTTTGTATTACAGGGGGTATGCACATTAAATGAAACACCGAGAACAGGTATGGCTGGTCTAAGTTAACGCTCATCACGTCCCGCCCGTGCATTTGTTTCACTGTTCCAACTACTGCGCTTATCCCCTTGTAATACAACCCAATAATAGTGATTCGAATCTATGATCGTTTGTTGAACAACTTTTATCCTAAGTTGAATAAAATTCTGAGATTTAAATGTGTAATTGGCTAGGTAAAATTATGAGGATTCGCAATCTTAATTTCACGTTATTTAATGTACTTTTTTGTTTAAAGTGAAATTCATCGGTACGTTTTCACTGCAAACAGACTATAGACAAGAGAAAATTTGAGAAGTATATCATTCAATGAATATCAACAACATAATATGTGATGAAAATATAAACCAGTTTAGATCTAACAAAACTAAACAATATATATTGTATAGTTTGGTTTGAATTAGAAGATGGTGGGATGGGACAGCTAGCACATTATCAGATGAAATTGGGCAAATTATATTTTAAAAATGGGCAAAAACACATTTGAAACAACACAGAGTCTTTTCTGATGAAACTTAAAAGCGTCTCTGATGAAACTAGAAAGCGTCTCTGATGAAACTATCAAACGTCTCTGATGACACTAGAAAACGTCTCTGATGAAACTAGAAAACGTCTCTGATGAAAATACCCTCATTCACTCCCGTGAGCAGGACAAACCCTGGACTGAAATTCACGACGAGAAATTTCCAACACACATTCTCATGTGACCCTCAATTCGAATGAATGTCTTATATCAGCATGCTGTATATAAATTAACATATACTCACCCACTGTCGTTGTTATGACAACTGATGTTTGTTTGTTTTCACAGGGGGCGTAGTGATGCTGAAGAACAACATCCTTAAACCAGTACAAAGATTTGATATTCCCTTCACTGTTCCCGATTACTCTTATCTCGGTAGGTTGGCAAGTGATAAGATGTGATAAGTTGCAGTAATCTGCAGTGTTTAAGTCTGTTAGTATACACCTCGGTAAGCTGACAAGCTATAAGATGTGGCAAGTTGCAGTAATCTGCAGTGTTTAAGTCTGTCAGTATACACCTCGGTAAGCTGGCAAGTGATAGGATGTGGCAAGTTGCAGTAATCGGCAGTGTTTAAGTCTGTCAGTATACACCTCGGTAAGCTGGCAAGTGATAGGATGTGGCAAGTTGCAGTAATCTGCAGTGTTTAAGTCTGTTAGTATACACCTCGGTAAGCTGGCAAGTGATAGGATGTGGCAAGTTGCAGTAATCTGCAGTGTTTAAGTCTGTCAGTATACACCTCGGTAAGCTGGCAAGTGATAGGATGTGATAAGTTGCAGTAATCTGCAGTGTTTAAGTCTGTCAGTATACACCTCGGTAAGCTGGCAAGTGATAGGATGTGATAAGTTGCAGTAATCTGCAGTGTTTAAGTCTGTTAGTATACACCTCGGTAAGCTGGCAAGTGATAGGATGTGGCAAAGTTGCAGTAATCTGCAGTGTTTAAGTCTGTCAGTATACACCTCGGTAAGCTGGCAAGTGATAGGATGTGGCAAGTTGCAGTAATCTGCAGTGTTTAAGTCTGTCAGTATACACCTCGGTAAGCTGGCAAGTGATAAGATGTGGCAAGTTGCAGTAATCTGCAGTGTTTAAGTCTGTCAGTATACACCTCGGTAAGCTGGCAAGTGATAGGATGTGGCAAGTTGCAGTAATCTGCAGTGTTTAAGTCTGTCAGTATACACCTCGGTAAGCTGACAAGTGATAGGATGTGATAAGTTGCAGTAATCTGCAGTGTTTAAGTCTGTTAGTATACACCTCGGTAAGCTGGCAAGTGATAGGATGTGATAAGTTGCAGTAATCTGCAGTGTTTAAGTCTGTCAGTATACACCTCGGTAAGCTGGCAAGTGATAGGATGTGGCAAGTTGCAGTAATCTGCAGTGTTTAAGTCTGTCAGTATACACCTCGGTAAGCTGACAAGTGATAGGATGTGGCAAGTTGCAGTAATCTGCAGTGTTTAAGTCTGTCAGTATACACCTCGGTAAGCTGACATGTGATAGGATGTGACAAGTTGCAGTAATCTGCAGTGTTTAAGTCTGTCAGTATACACCCGGTAAGCTGGCAAGTGATAGGATGTGATGTTGCAGTAATCTGCAGTGTTTAAGTCTGTCAGTATACACCTCGGTAAGCTGGCAAGTGATAGGATGTGATAAGTTGCAGTAATCTGCAGTGTTTAAGTCTGTCAGTATACACCTCGGTAAGCTGGCAAGTGATAGGATGTGATAAGTTGCAGTAATCTGCAGTGTTTAAGTCTGTCAGTATACACCTCGGTAAGCTGGCAAGTGATAGGATGTGGCAAGTTGCAGTAATCTGCAGTGTTTAAGTCTGTCAGTATACACCTCGGTAAGCTGGCAAGTGATAGGATGTGGCAAGTTGCAGTAATCTGCAGTGTTTAAGTCTGTCAGTATACACCTCGGTAAGCTGGCAAGTGATAGGATGTGATAAGTTGCAGTAATCTGCAGTGTTTAAGTCTGTCAGTATACACCTCGGTAAGCTGGCAAGTGATAGGATGTGATAAGTTGCAGTAATCTGCAGTGTTTAAGTCTGTCAGTATACACCTCGGTAAGCTGGCAAGTGATAGGATGTGGCAAGTTGCAGTAATCTGCAGTGTTTAAGTCTGTTAGTATACACCTCGGTAAGCTGGCAAGTGATAGGATGTGGCAAGTTGCAGTAATCTGCAGTGTTTAAGTCTGTCAGTATACACCTCGGTAAGCTGGCAAGTGATAGGATGTGGCAAGTTGCAGTAATCTGCAGTGTTTAAGTCTGTCAGTATACACCTCGGTAAGCTGGCAAGTGATAGGATGTGATAAGTTGCAGTAATCTGCAGTGTTTAAGTCTGTTAGTATACACCTCGGTAAGCTGGCAAGTGATAGGATGTGATAAGTTGCAGTAATCTGCAGTGTTTAAGTCTGTTAGTATACACCTCGGTAAGCTGGCAAGTGATAGGATGTGATAAGTTGCAGTAATCTGCAGTGTTTAAGTCTGTCAGTATACACCTCGGTAAGCTGGCACAAGTGATAGGATGTGATAAGTTGCAGTAATCTGCAGTGTTTAAGTCTGTCAGTATACACCTCGGTAAGCTGACAAGTGATAGGATGTGGCAAGTTGCAGTAATCTGCAGTGTTTAAGTCTGTTAGTATACACCTCGGTAAGCTGGCAAGTGATAGGATGTGATAAGTTGCAGTAATCTGCAGTGTTTAAGTCTGTTAGTATACACCTCGGTAAGCTGACAAGTGATAGGATGTGATAAGTTGCAGTAATCTGCAGTGTTTAAGTCTGTCAGTATACACCTCGGTAAGCTGGCAAGTGATAGGATGTGATAAGTTGCAGTAATCTGCAGTGTTTAAGTCTGTTAGTATACACCTCGGTAAGCTGGCAAGTGATAGGATGTGATAAGTTGCAGTAATCTGCAGTGTTTAAGTCTGTCAGTATACACCTCGGTAAGCTGGCAAGTGATAGGATGTGGCAAGTTGCAGTAATCTGCAGTGTTTAAGTCTGTCAGTATACACCTCGGTAAGCTGGCAAGTGATAGGAGGATGTGGCAAGTTGCAGTAATCTGCAGTGTTTAAGTCTGTCAGGTATACACCTCGGTAAGCTGACAAGTGATAGGATGTGGCAAGTTGCAGTAATCTGCAGTGTTTAAGTCTGTCAGTATACACCTCGGTAAGCTGGCAAGTGATAGGATGTGATAAGTTGCAGTAATCTGCAGTGTTTAAGTCTGTTAGTATACACCTCGGTAAGCTGGCAAGTGATAGGATGTGATAAGTTGCAGTAATCTGCAGTGTTTAAGTCTGTCAGTATACACCTCGGTAAGCTGGCAAGTGATAGGATGTGATAAGTTGCAGTAATCTGCAGTGTTTAAGTCTGTCAGTATACACCTCGGTAAGCTGGCAAGTGATAGGATGTGGCAAGTTGCAGTAATCTGCAGTGTTTAAGTCTGTCAGTATACACCTCGGTAAGCTGGCAAGTGATAGGATGTGATAAGTTGCAGTAATCTGCAGTGTTTAAGTCTGTTAGTATACACCTCGGTAAGCTGGCAAGTGATAGGATGTGGCAAGTTGCAGTAATCTGCAGTGTTTAAGTCTGTCAGTATACACCTCGGTAAGCTGGCAAGTGATAGGATGTGATAAGTTGCAGTAATCTGCAGTGTTTAAGTCTGTCAGTATACACCTCGGTAAGCTGGCAAGTGATAGGATGTGATAAGTTGCAGTAATCTGCAGTGTTTAAGTCTGTCAGTATACACCTCGGTAAGCTGGCAAGTGATAGGATGTGGCAAGTTGCAGTAATCTGCAGTGTTTAAGTCTGTCAGTATACACCTCGGTAAGCTGGCAAGTGATAGGATGTGGCAAGTTGCAGTAATCTGCAGTGTTTAAGTCTGTCAGTATACACCTCGGTAAGCTGGCAAGTGATAGGATGTGATAAGTTGCAGTAATCTGCAGTGTTTAAGTCTGTCAGTATACACCTCGGTAAGCTGGCAAGTGATAGGATGTGATAAGTTGCAGTAATCTGCAGTGTTTAAGTCTGTCAGTATACACCTCGGTAAGCTGGCAAGTGATAGGATGTGATAAGTTGCAGTAATCTGCAGTGTTTAAGTCTGTCAGTATACACCTCGGTAAGCTGGCAAGTGATAGGATGTGATAAGTTGCAGTAATCTGCAGTGTTTAAGTCTGTCAGTATACACCTCGGTAAGCTGGCAAGTGATAGGATGTGGCAAGTTGCAGTAATCGGCAGTGTTTAAGTCTGTCAGTATACACCTCGGTAAGCTGACAAGTGATAGGATGTGGCAAGTTGCAGTAATCGGCAGTGTTTAAGTCTGTCAGTATACACCTCGGTAAGCTGGCAAGTGATAGGATGTGATAAGTTGCAGTAATCTGCAGTGTTTAAGTCTGTCAGTATACACCTCGGTAAGCTGGCAAGTGATAGGATGTGGCAAGTTGCAGTAATCTGCAGTGTTTAAGTCTGTCAGTATACACCTCGGTAAGCTGGCAAGTGATAGGATGTGATAAGTTGCAGTAATCTGCAGTGTTTAAGTCTGTCAGTATACACCTCGGTAAGCTGACAAGTGATAGGATGTGGCAAGTTGCAGTAATCTGCAGTGTTTAAGTCTGTCAGTATACACCTCGGTAAGCTGGCAAGTGATAGGATGTGGCAAGTTGCAGTAATCTGCAGTGTTTAAGTCTGTCAGTATACACCTCGGTAAGCTGGCAAGTGATAGGATGTGGCAAGTTGCAGTAATCTGCAGTGTTTAAGTCTGTCAGTATACACCTCGGTAAGCTGGCAAGTGATAGGATGTGGCAAGTTGCAGTAATCTGCAGTGTTTAAGTCTGTCAGTATACACCTCGGTAAGCTGGCAAGTGATAGGATGTGGCAAGTTGCAGTAATCGGCAGTGTTTAAGTCTGTCAGTATACACCTCGGTAAGCTGACAAGTGATAGGATGTGATAAGTTGCAGTAATCTGCAGTGTTTAAGTCTGTCAGTATACACCTCGGTAAGCTGGCAAGTGATAGGATGTGGCAAGTTGCAGTAATCTGCAGTGTTTAAGTCTGTCAGTATACACCTCGGTAAGCTGGCAAGTGATAGGATGTGGCAAGTTGCAGTAATCTGCAGTGTTTAAGTCTGTCAGTATACACCTCGGTAAGCTGACAAGTGATAGGATGTGGCAAGTTGCAGTAATCTGCAGTGTTTAAGTCTGTCAGTATACACCTCGGTAAGCTGGCAAGTGATAGGATGTGGCAAGTTGCAGTAATCTGCAGTGTTTAAGTCTGTCAGTATACACCTCGGTAAGCTGACAAGTGATAGGATGTGATAAGTTGCAGTAATCTGCAGTGTTTAAGTCTGTCAGTATACACCTCGGTAAGCTGGCAAGTGATAGGATGTGGCAAGTTGCAGTAATCTGCAGTGTTTAAGTCTGTCAGTATACACCTCGGTAAGCTGGCAAGTGATAGGATGTGATAAGTTGCAGTAATCTGCAGTGTTTAAGTCTGTCAGTATATACACCTCGGCAAGCTGACAAGTGATAGGATGTGGCAAGTTGCAGTAATCTGCAGTGTTTAAGTCTGTCAGTATACACCTCGGTAAGCTGACAAGTGATAGGATGTGGCAAGTTGCAGTAATCTGCAGTGTTTAAGTCTGTCAGTATACACCTCGGTAAGCTGACAAGTGATAAGATGTGATAAGTTGCAGTAATCTGCAGTGTTTAAGTCTGTTAGTATACACCTCGGTAAGCTGGCAAGTGATAAGATGTGGATGTGGCAAGTTGCAGTAATCTGCAGTGTTTAAGTCTGTCAGTATACACCTCGGTAAGCTGGCAAGTGATAGGATGTGGCAAGTTGCAGTAATCTGCAGTGTTTAAGTCTGTCAGTATACACCTCGGTAAGCTGACAAGTGATAGGATGTGGCAAAGTTGCAGTAATCTGCAGTGTTTAAGTCTGTCAGTATACACCTCGGTAAGCTGGCAAGTGATAAGGATGTGAAGCTGAAGTTGCAGTAATCTGCAGTGTTTAAGTCTGTCAGTATACACCTCGGTAAGCTGGCAAGTGATAGGATGTGGCAAGTTGCAGTAATCGGCAGTGTTTAAGTCTGTCAGTATACACCTCGATAAGCTGACATGTGATATGATGTGGCAAGTTGCAGTAATCTGCAGTGTTTAAGTCTGTCAGTATACACCTCGGTAAGCTGGCAAGTGATATGATGTGGCAAGTTGCAGTAATCGGCAGTGTTTAAGTCTGTCAGTATACACCTCGATAAGCTGACATGTGATATGATGTGACAAGTTGCAGTAATCTGCAGTGTTTAAGTCTGTCAGTATACACCTCGGTAAGCTGGCAAGTGATAGGATGTGGCAAGTTGCAGTAATCTGCAGTGTTTAAGTCTGTCAGTATACACCTAGGTAAGCTGGCAAGTGATAGGATGTGGCAAGTTGCAGTAATCTGCAGTATTTACGTCTGTCAGTATACACCTCGGCAAGCTGACATGTGATAGGATGCGGCAAGTTGCAGTAATCGGCAGTGTTTAAGTCTGTCAGTATACACCTCGGTAAGCTGACAAGTGATAGGATGTGGCAAGTTGCAGTAATCGGCAGTGTTTAAGTCTGTCAGTATACACCTCGGCAAGCTGGCAAGTGAAAGGATGTGACAGGTTGCAGTAATCTGCAGTGTTTAAGTCTGTTAGTATACACCTCGGTAAGGATTTGACATGTATTCCGTAGTGTTTAAGTCGGAGATTAAAATTTGTAACCATCTCACAAACTTTCTTCTATACAGTCAAAACATCACAATGCCAGTATTGCACAGTTAATTAACTTTCATGATCCATTTTATTTATTTTCCTTGACTGATATTGCAACCATAGTAACTAACTCATCAACAGGATACTCCGTGGCAACGGGGACGTTGTGTGGACAAGGAGACCCGTGCTTCGCTGCAGGTGCCCCTCGGGCAGAGATGGTCAAAGTAAGAGCCAAATACTATATCACCTGTTATATACTCTCCCAAAAAAGAAACGCATCATGAAAATAGAAATTTCATGTAGCAATGAATTAAAACGTGATCCATTTTACAAAGGGTTTTGCTCTGTTTATGAGTCCTATGGTGTTTATGTTTTGAAACATCACAACAAAACGCACCATCCGTAAAATACCCGTATTGAACAGCATGATTTTCAATTTCGACGTGTAGTGTCACAGAATACACAATTCAAATGCAATGCACGTGAAAGTTGGGGATCAGATAGTCTCAATGATGGGTATAAAAGGTTGATCGCTGTCTGTCGATTATTCACTGTATTTGGAATATTGTTGACGAACGCAAAATGCCACGTCTAAGTGAAGCCAACCGTCATATCGCCATTGGTTTGCTTGAAGCTGGCCAGTCTTCACGTGCAGTTGCCCGACGCATGAATGTTCACCAAAGCACCATTTCACGGCTCTGGGAGAGATATCGCCGGCAGAATTCGGTAGCAGATGCCCCTCGTAGTGGGCGACCTCGAGCGACCACTGCGGCGCAGGATCGCTACATCCGGGTACATCACCTGCGTCAACGAACAGCTACGGTGACCAGTACCGCTCGACAAATACCCGGATTGAGGAGGCTTTCTGCACACACCTTCAGGAACAGGTTGAGAGGCTGGTTTACGTGCCAGAAGACCTTATTTTGGCCCTGTGCTTCGACAACAACATCGTCGACATCGAGTTCAATGGTGCACCAACGTTCAGGCCTGGAACCTACCGAATTGGCGAAGAATCTGGTTCAGTGATGAATCACCATTTCTATTGGAACGACGCGATGGAAGAATGCGGGTGTACAGACGTCGACGTGAACGTTTCGCCGACGCTTGCGTTCCCCAGGTGGACAGATTCGGCCGGGGAAGTGTTATGATGTGGAGAGCGATCACCTGCCGTAGGAGAAGTGATTTGGTGATGATCCAGGGCAACCTGACAGCTCAACGGTACTGTGACGAAATCCTACGCCCACACCTCCTTCCAATCATTGATCGCCAGAAGGAGTTGTTTCAACAGGACAATGCCAGGCCCCACACAGCACGTCACACTAGAGACTTCCTCCAGAACCACAACATCAATGTGCTCCCCTGGCCCTCAAGATCACCGGACTTAAACCCGATCGAACATCTGTGGGATGCCCTGGACAGACGGGTGGGACGCCGTAACCCTCAGCCCCAGACACTTCAGCAACTCGCACAGGCACTACAGGCAGAGTGGGCTGCGATTGGGCAACACGAGATTCTGAGACTTATTTGTTCGATGCCGAGGCAATGCCGTGCAGTTCTGGATGTCCACGGTGGTCACACGAGGTATTGACTTCAGCGCCACCACACGTCTCCATGTGACACTCAAACTGACTTTCCTCGAGTTGGTGCCAAAGACGGATAAGTCTGCATTCCCAGTGTGCAATTTCGCTATATTTCATTGACTCATAAAGCCTACAAGATGTTTCAAAATAAACATAAAAATACAGCTAAAATTCCTATATGCGTTTCTTTTTTAGGAGAGTATATTATTTGCATGAATATAATACAAAGTGAGATTACGAGGAGTGGACGGACTTGATAGAGTTGTCTGCTGATAATGTTTCTGCCGACATCCTTCCACCAATGATGTTTACTTTATGCAAACTACTAGTATGAAACACTCCTTCCCGATGGTACCCGTGAAGATCCGGGTTAGAATTGATCTTCAGTAACCCATGCTTGTCGTTAGAGGCGACTAACGGGATCGGGTGGTCAGGCTCGCTGACTTGGTTGACACATGTCATCGTATCCTCATGCTGTTGATCACTGGAGTGTCTAGTCCAGACTCGATTATTTACAGACCGCCGCCATATAGCTGGAATATTGCATAAAATGTGCTCAAAGCTGCGTAAACCTAAACTCACTCACTCACTCTATATGACTAAAGCCCTGATATCTGTGGACGATGTTGTTTGGTTGTGTATTTGATGAAATGTGTTTGTAAACATAGGAAGCCGTTTAGGGGTGCGCTGTAATCCTTCTTAACAGCTTCACTCATCAGCTATCCCTCGTCAAAGTATCTAGAAATTCTGACAACGTGTGTGAGTGAGTTTAGTTTTACGCCGCTTCGAGCAATATTCAAGCAATGTAACGGTCGGGGACACCAGAAGTGGGCTTCACAAATTGTATCCATGTTGGGATTCGAATCCGGGTCTTCGACGTGGCGAGGGAACGCTTCAACCACTAGGCTAATTTATAAACCTAACCCTTCCCCTAAATTATCCCTATCCCTATCTCCCTATGTCATTTCCGGAACCACACATCATAAACCATAAAGTCGCCATTGGCCCGGTCAAGGCCTAAGCCCAAGCCCAAGCCCAAGCCCAAGCCCAAGCCCCTAGCCCAAGCCCAACCCCTAGCCCAAGCCCAACCTAACACCCAACCATAACGAAAATATTGCCTAATAGTGAGTGACACTTCTTCTTCATTTTTCAGATTATAATTTACATCAAGTCAATAAACACGCTTTCTCAGGTTCAGGCCCTGGAAGGCCAAAAGGTAAAGTATCTTTAAAAGTATTATAGCTCCATTTAGCTCAGATTCGAGAGGTGCGGCAATTTTATTTGATTTTAATAATGATGTAGAAATAGATATACATAAATTTAAGAAAGTCATCAATTGTAATTATATAACTGCAGACACAAGTGTGGACGGCACGAGGTTGACTTTAACTAATGTCTATGGACCAAATAAGGATGATCCAGCATTCTATAATTCCCTTTTTGAAGAAATTGATGAATTTGATAATGACTCAATGGTGCTGTGTGGAACTTAGATATGGATCCAATCATTGATTTAGAGAACTATAAACATGTAAATAATCCTAACGCAAGGAAAATAATCATGGATAAAGTAGATGAATTAAACCTTGTGGATATCTGGCGTGACCTCAATATTGATACAAGGAAATATACCTGGTGGAAAAAGAATCCTAGACAGCAAGCCAGACATGATTTTTCTTTTTAATCTCTCAAGATATTTCTAATGTAACTGTAGATTCTGCAGTCATACCAGGATATAAATCAGATCATTCAGCTATTACTTTAACTGTATCTTTAGACTGCAAATCTAGAGGAAAGGGCTTCCGGTAAGTTTAACACATCGTTCTCGAGAGACAAGGAATATGTTAAATTAGTTAAAAATGAAAAAAATAATTATCGAGGCAACTAAAAGACAATATGTAATGAACTCTCAAACTAATGATATGAACGAGGTTGATAATGGTGATTTGAAACTAATTATAGATGATTGTCTGTTTCTGGAAACTTTGCTGATGAACATCAGAGGAAAATCCATCTCATAGAGCACCTTCTGAAAAAAAGAAAGGAATGAAAAAACTTTGAAAGTAGAATCTAAAATTAAAGACTTGGAGGATACAATACGTAGTAATCTTCAAAACATTGATGAAACCCTTCTCTCTGATCTATACAAACACAAGATGGAGTTCGAAAAAGTTAAAGTTAAATTTGGAAATTAAAGGAATACAGGTCAGAAACCGAATTCAGTGGTATGAAGAGGGAGAAAAGCCATCAAAATAGTTTTGCAATCTTGAAAACAGATACTATGTTAGTAAGTCCATCACTAGTCTTATGTCCGACACAGGTGAAATTATTACTGATGGTAAATATATATTAGACAAACAAAAGGCTTTTTACCAAAACCTGTATTCGGACCCTGAGCAGGACCCTATTGAAGACCCAAAAACTATTTGGTCTCTTTTTTAACTAAATACTCCAACCCTTCCAAAATCTTTTAAAAATGAATTAGAAATCCCAATCGACAAGAGCGAAATTCTTAGAGCAATCAAATCAATGAAAAACAACAAGAGTCCAGGTATTGATGGATACTCAGTAGAATTTTTCAAATTGTTTTGGCTGGACTTGGGACAGTGGATTCTTCGATATGTAAACCGAACTTTCGTGAATGATTACCTAACTTTGACGATGAAATTGGGGTTATCACCTGCATACCCAAACAAGGGAAAGACAGAAAATACCTAAAGAACTGGCGCCCCATGTCACTACTAAACTCCATTTATAAGATAATAAGTACCTGAAACAAATAGATTGAAATGTTCACTGGACTATTTAATTCATGAAAACCAAACAGGCTTTATTCCAGGGAGATGTATTAGTGAACATATCAGATTACTATATGATGTATTGTTTGAAACCAGAAAACAAAATAACACAGGCCTTCTATTGTTGATTGATTTCGAAAAAGCCTTTGTTTTAAAATCATTTGTAAAATAAGGTGTTACAAAAACTTGGATTTGGCCCATATATCATGAGATGGATCTCAATTCTCACTAAAAATGCTACCTCCTGTATTATACAAAATGGACATCTATCCGAATTCTTTCTAAACAACAGAGGCTGCAGGCAGGGGGACCCTATCTCACCATACCTTTTTTTTTTGGTCGCAGAGATCTTGGGTATCATGATTCTTGAAAATGTAGATACTAAGGGTATTGTTTTGAATGGCAAGGAATATAAGCTAGGTCAATATGCAGATGACACCCAGCTCCTCTTAGATGGCTCTGAAATCAGCCTAAAGGCTGCTATGGACACCCTGACTTTATTTTTTAAGGTGTCGGGATTAAAAATTAACATTGACAAAACAAATGCTTTATGGATTGGAGCTATGGCAAACAGCCAGGATACAATTTGCAGTGAGTATGGTTTGGATTGGCATACAGGTAATTTTGAGGCCTTAGGGGTAATCTTAAATGCTACCTTGAGTGATTTGTGGGTTATTAACACAAGGAAGAGACTAATAGCTATTTCAAACATTCTTGGAAATTGGAGGAAAAGTAGCTTGACCATTCTTGGGAAGATTACTGTTATAAAAACTTTGGCTGTATCTACACTATTTCATATTTTTACATCTCTCCCTAATCCTCCAAAACGTTTTATCGATGATATTACGAAGCTGTTTTTTGTTCTCATTTAGTTGGAATGATAAACCGGATACGATAAAATGAGTAAATTTGAAAAAAGATTATGGGGATGGTGGAATTAGAATGATTGATATAAAGTCCTTTATTGATGCATTAAAAATGTCCGCCATAAAGAGATGTTTTAAGAATGTAAGTTATAACAACCCATGTAATGTTCCCATCGGACAAATTGCGAGTATTGGTGCTAACATACACCAATATTGTAATGTGGACAATCCATTATAGAGGTCTTTTTTATAACTGATCAGAATGACATTTCCAAAATACTTGCGGAACCGCTCTGGTTCAATCATCAGCTTTCGGATCCATCCAAATTTATAAAAGATTGGTTTGATAATGGAATCACAGACATAAAGGACCTCTGTAACTCTAATGGTCTATTGTCGTTTGATGATTTCAAGACCAGATATCCAGTTAGAGGAACATTCTTAGACCATTTCCAGTGTCCTGGAGAGATGCTGTTAGTAATCAGAAATTCGTAAACCAAAATCTAGTGATCAATGATGCTGTACATTCTCTTCTTGTAGCTTCCAAAGTTTGTAGTATGTTTTATGACAAATTGACAAGAACTGATGTTTTACCCGAGGTGTGTGGTAAATGGGAGAGCTTGATTATTATCCCTTTACTATGGAGTAATATTTTCACGAACTATAGAAACTGTACACGTGATACTAAGCTATTGGATTTCCAGTTCAGGTTTATTCATAAGATTATATATACCAAAAGAGAATTAATGAAAATGAAATTAGTAAATAAAAATATTTGTACACTTTGCAAAACAGAACCTGAAGATATTATCCATGTTTTCATCTCTTGTGAATATGTACAGACGTTTTGGAATGATTTAAGAGTGTTTCTTAGAAACATTCTTAATATTGATTTAATACTCAAACATTTTACAGTCCTGTTGGGATTTAATTCTGGCTATGATTTTATCAACAACATTACACTGGCTGGTAAAAGATTTATATTTACTTCTAGTATTAATAATAAAATGTTACATATAGCAGAATTCATGAAGATCCTACGGGATATTGTAATAGTTGAAAGATACAGCATTGACAAATTTTACAAAAAGTGGCCAAATAGATAAATTGAATACTTAGAGAACCTCTAATATGTCACTGTCATGAAACGTATATCTCCTGTGTTGTACGGTTTTGTAAATGCTGTTATATCAATTTCCATTCCACCTTGCAATGTACACCTCCCGAAATGAATCTTCGGGACGCCGTCACAGATGTTTCGGGGAATGTGTGCTTGTAATCTTACAATGATATCATAAAAACCACAGAGTTATCTAGGGCTATACATTTTCAATCAATGCTGATGTCATGTAATACATCGGTAATACCAGTTAGAAGTGGTATTCAGTAGTTATCCATGCTTGTCGTATGAGGCGACTAACGGGATCGGCTGGTCAGGATCGCTGACTTGATTGACACATGTCATCGGTTCCCAGTTGTGCAGACCGATGCTCATGATGTTGATCCCTGGATTGTCTGGTCCAGACTCGATTATTTACAGACCGCCGCCATATAGCTGGAATATTGCTGAGTGCAGCGTTAAACAACACTCGCTCACTTACTCATGGTGTCAATCACTGGGTTGTCTGGACCAGTCTCAACAGACAGCGGTCTGGTTTTATAGGTGAGTGTGACGTTGTATAACAAACAAAGAATTTGGTTCCAGGCAACAGAGCTTAAAATAATGATGTTTTCATATTGAAGTTGCAAACTGTTATTTGCACGCGTGCATATATTATGAATATCTGTCTTATAAAAAGTGAACATGCACGTTAAAATTGTCGAACAAATCACCCAAACATATGACTTGACATTTCTTCTTAGTTTAATATCTCTTGGTTGTGTCGTTTGATTAGCAAGGGAAACAATTGCATGCTATATCACACTTACGTGATGTTTATGGTTATGGTTAAGCATTACAGTTGTATCGAACTTCCGGCTGTCACTCACTCACACACTCACTCACTCACTCTGTATTAATTACATACAAATATATGTGAACGAACTCCAAGCATTGTCAGCATCCTGTTTAAGTTATCCCTTAATTTAGGTTGACGGTATTCAATTAACTGAATCGTGCTCAGGTAATACAATACCTAGAGCAAAGTAGTCACGATTTCATTACGGGGGCAGAGTGATTGGGACAGCTTCGTCCTGCTCCTATATAACACAACGATGCTGATGAGGTAGAGTGCACACTATTTATCGCTAGCATCGAATTCACGTCTACGTTATCTCTGACTCACTCACTAACTCACTCACTCACTCACTCACTCACCCACCCACCCACTTACTCACCCACTCACTCAGTCACCCACCCCCTCACACATGATTTCCGTGTGTAAATGCATTTAACTGCACATGCAAGGTCATGTATTTGTAACGCAAAGTAACAGGATTTTCAGGTATGTCAAAATTATGTAAAATATATCATTTAAAACAACAGATAAATGTGAATACGACATGACGCAACGTATTATTGTATTATAATACAAAATAGGAGCTTTAGAGAGGTTTTCTGAACGTCCTTCTTTGTGATTATAGAGGACACGCTTCGCTGAACGCAACCCTATTGGAGGCTCAGTGGTCATGATTCCCGCTCATGCCAAACCCACTCACTCACCCACTCACTAACTTAATGTTTTCAGACAGGTGCTTACTTCGGTGCCTCCCTCTGTACGGCGGATGTAAACGGTGACGGGCACGACGACCTGCTGGTCGGGGCTCCGTTCTTCACCGACGACAACGACGGCAGTGATCAAAGCAAGAAGATTTACATGGATGAAGGGCGGGTGTTTGTCTACCTCAACCTCCTCAATGCCAATAACCAGGTATGATTTTTTTAATTAGCTTTTACCTAAATGTACATTTATGATAGCATACGGTCATTATGTGAGCTTTCTTGATTTTGACGTTTTCAATTAACGTCGAGTAATATCTGTGGACCTGTAGGTCTTGTTGCTTCTGATGATTTAGTTGATTAGCTCTGATTTCTGTGGTTACATTTCTTGCTATAAATACACAAAGAACTTAATCAAGCAGCCTCTGTATTTTTGCAATGATAGGTTTTCAACACGTATATGAAACTTCTCGTGGTGACCCCGGTGGAAAGCATGAGATTTTACACCCAACTGTATGACAGCCAGCACTTTCCTTCTCATACCCCATGTCAGCCCCCTGATCCTCTGAAGGGGTAGTCTACGCCATTCCTCGTGTAAAGCAGCTTCCAATTGGGCCAGGTTCTGTACAGCAGGATCCCTTTGTTGCACACGACGAACAATCATGTCCCAGATATGCTCCAAAGGGTTAAGATCGGGGCTCATTCAATCGTGAGATATGTCAGGGGGTGCTTAACTAAGTTCTTTGTGTATATATAGGGTCCATGCAGCGTCTGTCATGCGCAGTGCATCTAAGGCCAAAGATAGGATGGAAACTGACAAAATACTCCATTTTCTTACCTTCATTGGGATTAGTCTCTGACTAGAAGACTGTTAAACCGATACCAACAAGTACAATATGTGATTAGAAGACTGTTAAACCGATACCAACAAATTCAATATGTGATTAGAAGACTGTTAAACCGATACCAACAAGTACAATATGTGATTAGAAGACTGTTAAACCGATACCAACAAATTCAATATGTGATTAGAAGACTGTTAAACCGATACCAACAAGTACAATATGTGATTAGAAGACTGTTAAACCGATACCAACAAGTACAATATGTGATTAGAAGACTGTTAAACCGATACCAACAAATTCAATATGAAGACTGATTAGATTAGACTGTTAAACCGATACCAACAAGTACAATATGTGATTAGAAGACTGTTAAACCGATACCAACAAGTACAATATGTGATTAGAAGACTGTTAAACCGATACCAACAAATTCAATATGTGATTAGAAGACTGTTAAACCGATACCAACAAGTACAATATGTGATTAGAAGACTGTTAAACCGATACCAACAAGTACAATATGTGATTAGAAGACTGTTAAACCGATACCAACAAGTACAATATGTGATTAGAAGACTGTTAAACCGATACCAACAAGTACAATATGTGATTAGAAGACTGTTAAACCGATACCAACAAGTACAATATGTGATTAGAAGACTGTTAAACCGATACCAACAAGTACAATATGTGATTAGAAGACTGTTAAACCGATACCAAGTACAATATGTGATTAGATGACTGTTAAACCGATACCAACAAGTACAATATGTGATTAGAAGACTGTTAAACCGATACCAACAAGTACAATATGTGATTAGAAGACTGTTAAACCGATACCAACAAGTACAATATGTGATTAGAAGACTGTTAAACCGATACCAACAAGTACAATATGTGATTAGAAGACTGTTAAACCGATACCAACAAATACAATATGTGATTAGAAGACTGTTAAACCGATACCAACAAGTACAATATGTGATTAGAAGACTGTTAAACCGGCGGTCTGTAGACAATCAAGTCTGGTCCAGACAATGCAGTGATCAACAACAGGAACCATCGATCTACGGAATTGGGATACGATGACATGTGTCAACCAAGTCAGGGAGCCTGACCACCCGATCCCGTTAGTCGCCTCTAACGACAAGCATGGGTTACTGAAGATCAATTCCAACCCGAATCGTCACGGGTACCATCGGGAAGGAGTGTTTCATACTAGTAGTTTGCATAAAGTAAACATCATTGGCGGAAGGATGTCGGCAGAAACATTATCAGCAGACAACTCTATCGAGTCCGTCCACTCCTCGTAATCTCACTTTGTATTATATTCATGCAAATAATACAACAGGTGATATAGTATCTGGCTCTTACTTTGACCATCTCTGCCAGAGGAGCACCTGCAGCGAAGCACGGGTCTCCTTGTCCACTCAACTTCCCGTTGCCACGGAGTAGCCTGTTGATAAGTCAGTTACCATGGTTACAATTTCATTCTAGGGGAATAAATAAAATGGATCATGACATCGTCCATTGGTGCATTGTACATCCTTTCTACTGAGGCGCATCGCTCATTAGCTACCTCTCGTCAAAATATCTTACATTGGATGGGAGTGAGTTTAGTTTTACGTCGCTTTGAGCAATATTCCAGCAATATCGCTTCAGCGGACACCAGAAAAGGTCTTCACACCTTGTATCCATGTGGGAAATCGAACCCGGGTCTTCGGCGTGACGAGCGAACGCTTCAACCACTAGGCTACATCAACCCCTCAACCTGTAAGCCTGTGAAAAAGGAAAGTTACCTGTATCACCTACTAGGTTCACGTATTTTGTCATGTAAACTTCAACTTAATTATTCTCTGATTATACAGCGGTTCTTGACACGGAGATCGGTTCTCAAGGGGAAGAATGAACACGGAGCCAGATTTGGAACTTCCATCAGTAACCTGGGAGACATCAACGGTGATGGCTATTCAGGTGAGATTGAAACTGGCATTAGTAAATTTGGAGACATAAAAGGTTTGGGATATTGAGCTGAGACTCTTTTGCTGTACTGGGGGCGTACTAGAAACGTTCTTCACACATAGTACCCATAAGTGGAATCGAACTCTGGCCTTCAGCGTGATGAACACTTTAACCACTACCCTACCCACCATTCCATCTGTTTGTTTGTTTGTTGTTTAATGCCGCACTCGGCTTATATATGGCGGCGGTCTGCAAATAATCGAGTCTGGACCAGCCAGTCCGGTGCTCAACAGCATGAGCATTGATCTACGCTACTGGGATACGATGACATGTGTCAACCAAGTCAGTGAACCTGACGACAAGCATGGATTGATGAAGAGCAATTCTAATCCGGATACAACGGGTCAGGTGAGACTGGTATTGTCATTGTTAACCGTGGAGACTTAATCATGGGCCAGTGGTGGGTGTTGATGTGAGTCCATAACAGTCATCTGTAACCAGTACAATTCTGAGGGGTTATGGAAGTGAGAAGTTAACTGTCTTTGGTAGCCTTTGAGAGATAATACATGCCTTGCATCTCATGAATATGTCGTTACCATCTTCCAGATGTTGCTGTTGGAGCGCCATACGAGGATGAAGGACGCGGGGCGGTATACATCTACCACGGAGGGGAAGGAGGGGTGAACGCCGAGGCCATGCAGAGAATAGGAGGCCGCGACATCAACGACACGGAGACAGTGGCGTCTTTTGGCTGGAGCATCTCCAAACCTGCCGACGTGGACGGCAACAACTATCCGGGTGCAGTTGGATGTCGTCTCTTGTAGTGTCATACAGATGGATGTAGTTCTGTGTAGTGTCATACAGATGGATGTAGTTATGTGTAGTGTCATATAGATGGATGAAGTTTATGTGTAGTGTCATATAGATCGATGTAGTTTATGTGTAGTGCCATACAGATGGATGTAGTTTATGTGAAGTGTCATATAGATGGATGTAGTTTATGTGAAGTGTCATATAGATGGATGTAGTTTATGTGTAGTGTCATATAGATGGATGTAGTTTATGTGTAGTGTCATACAGATGGATGTAGTTTATGTGTAGTGTCATACAGATGGATGTAGTTTATGTGTAGTGCCATACAGATGGATGTAGTTTATGTGTAGTGTCATACAGATGGATGTAGTTTATGTGTAGTGTCATACAGATGGATGTAGTTCCGTGTATCGTAATACAGATGGATGTAGTTCCATGTAGTGTCATACAGATGAATGTAGTTCCATGTAGTGCCATACAGATGGATGTAGTTATGTGTAGTGCCATACAGATGGATGTAGTTTATGTGTACTGCCATGCATTCCTGAGTGGTGTGACGCAATGTGCAGCGTCAAATATTTATTACCATTCGTTTTCACACCATTATATCAAACGATGAACCTGTCTGTGAACATACTTCGTGAAACTGTCTTGCCCACTTGACATGACTGAAATATTTGACATAACTAAATTGTCCACTCCTTGTAGATATCGCTGTCGGGGCGTACCTCTCGGATTCTGCAGTCATTCTCAGAACGAGGCCCATAGTTGACCTCCACGCCAACGTCACGACTGACCCCCAGCTGATCATCAAGGACAGGTCCAATTGTCCGGCGGGGACTAACGCCGACAGATGTTTCCTGTTGAGGATCTGCTTCCACTACACCGGAGTCAGCCTACCTTCCAGCCTCAGTAAGGCTCTACATTCAAGTGACAGAAGCATATTTTTAAGGGACGGTGGGGTAGCCCAGTGGTTAAAACGTTCGCTCGTCACGCCGAAGAGCCGGGTTCGATTCCCCACTTGGGTATCATGTATGAAGCCCATTTCTGGTGTCCCCCGACGTGAAATTGCCGGAATATTGATAAAAGTAAACTCACTCACGCACTAAATACATATGTCTTATACAACTCCACATGGTGTAATGTTACACATTATGTCTTATATTACCCCATAACACAATAACCCGTGAAGGAGCGGGTTAGAAATGATCTTCAGCTTATCGCAAGAGGCGACAAACGGAATCGGGTGGTCAGGCTCGCTGACTTGGTTGACACACGTCATCGGTTCCCAATCGATGCTCATGCTGTTGATCACTGGCTTTTCTGGTCTCGATTATTTACGAACCACCGCCATATAGCTTGAATATTGCTGAGTGCGGCGTAAAACTAAACTCACTAACCACAAGATGGTGTAACGCTGCAGCTGTATAATTAGCATAACCGCCCTATGTAACGCTACACGTGTATATGTTACGAAACCCACTTGGTGTAACGCTACACGTGTATATGTTACGAAACCCACATGGTCTAACGCTACACGTGTATATGTTACGAAACCCACTTGGTCTAACGCTACACGTGTATATGTTACGAAACCCACTTGGTCTAACGCTACACGTGTATATGTTACGAAACCCACTTGGTCTAACGCTACACGTGTATATGTTACGAAACCCACTTGGTCTAACGCTACACGTGTATATGTTACGAAACCCACTTGGTCTAACGCTACACGTGTATATGTTACGAAACCCACTTGGTCTAACGCTACACGTGTATATCTTACGAAACCCACTTGGTGTAACGCTACACGTGTATATGTTACGAAACCCACTTGGTCTAACGCTACACATGTATATGTTACGAAACCCACTTGGTCTAACGCTACACGTGTATATGTTACGAAACCCACTTGGTCTAACGCTACACGTGTATATGTTACGAAACCCACTTGGTCTAACGCTTGGTCTACACGTGTATATGTTACGAAACCCACTTGGTCTAACGCTACACGTGTATATGTTACGAAACCCACTTGGTCTAACGCTACACGTATATGTTACGAAACCCACTTGGTCTAACGCTACACGTGTATATGTTACGAAACCCACTTGGTGTAACGCTACACGTGTATATGTTACGAAACCCACTTGGTCTAACGCTACACGTGTATATGTTACGAAACCCACTTGGTCTAACGCTACACGTGTATATGTTACGAAAACCCACTTGGTCTAACGCTACACGTGTATATGTTACGAAACCCACTTGGTCTACGCTACGTGTATATGTTACGAAACCCACTTGGTCTAACGCTACACGTGTATATGTTACGAAACCCTACTTGGTTACGAAACCCACTTGGTCTAACGCTACACGTGTATATGTAAGGCTACACGTATATGTTACGAAACCCACCACTTGGTCTAACGCTACACGTGTATATGTTACGAAACCCACTTGGTCTAACGCTACACGTGTATATGTTACGAAACCCACTTGGTCTAACGCTACACGTGTATATGTTACGAAACCCACTTGGTCTAACGCTACACGTGTATATGTTACGAAACCCACTTGGTGTAACGCTACACGTGTTATGTTACGAAACCCACTTGGTCTAACCCAACTACACGTGTATATGGCGCTACACGTGTATATGTTACGAAACCCACTTGGTCTAACGCTACATACGTGTATATGTTACGAAACCCACTTGGTCTAACGCTACACGTGTATATGTTACAGAAACCCACTTGGTCTAACGCTACACGTGTATATGTTACGAAACCCACTTGGTCTAACGCTACACGTGTATATGTTACGAAACCCACTTGGTCTAACGCTACACGTATGTTACGATGCTACACGCACGAAACCCACTTGGTCTTAACGCTACACGTGTATATGTTACGAAAACCCACTTGGTCTAACGCTACACGTGTATATGTTACGAAACCCACTTGGTCTAACGCTACACGTGTATATGTTACGAAACCCACTTGGTCTAACGCTACACGTGTATATGTTACGAAACCCACTTGGTCTAACGCTACACGTATATATGTATATGTTACGAAACCCACTTGGTCCTAACGCTACACGTATATGTTACGAAACCCACTTGGTCTAACGCTACACGTGTATATGTTACAAACCCACTTGGTCTAACGCTACACGTATATATGTTACGAAACCCACTTGGTACTAACGCTACACGTGTATATGTTACGAAACCCACATGGTCTAACGCTACACGTGTATATGTTACGAAACCCACTTGGTCTAACGCTACACGTGTATATGTTACGAAACCCACTTGGTGTAAGGCTACACGTGTATATGTTACGAAACCCACTTGGTCTAACGCTACACGTGTATATGTTACGAAACCCACTTGGTCTAACGCTACACGTGTATATGTTACGAAACCCACTTGGTGTAACGCTACACGTGTATATGTTACGAAACCCACTTGGTCTAACGCTACACGTGTATATGTTACGAAACCCACTTGGTCTAACGCTACACGTGTATATGTTACGAAACCCACTTGGTCTAACGCTACACGTGTATATGTTACGAAACCCACTTGGTCTAACGCTACACGTATATGTTACGAAACCCACTTGGTGTAACGCTACACGTGTATATGTTACGAAACCCACTTGGTCTAACGCTACACGTGTATATGTTACGAAACCCACTTGGTCTAACGCTACACGTGTATATGTTCACGAAACCCACTTGGTCTAACGCTACACGTGTATATGTTACGAAACCCACTTGGTCTAACGCTACGTGTATATGTTACGAAACCCACTTGGTGTAAGGCTACACGTGTATATGTTACGAAACCCACTTGGTGTAACGCTACACGTGTATATGTTACGAAACCCACTTGGTGTAACGCTACACGTGTATATGTTACGAAACCCACTTGGTCTAACGCTACACGTGTATATGTTACGAAACCCACTTGGTCTAACGCTACGTGTATATGTTACGAAACCCACTTGGTCTAACGCTACACGTGTATATGTTACGAAACCCACTTGGTCTAACGCTACACGTGTATATGTTACGAAACCCACTTGGTGTAAGGCTACACGTGTATATGTTACGAAACCCACTTGGTCTAACGCTACACGTGTATATGTTACGAAACCCACTTGGTGTAACGCTACACGTATATATCTTACGAGACCCACTTGGTGTAACGCTAACGCTACGTGTATATCTTACGAAACCCACTTGGTGTAACGCTACTACGTGTATATCTTACGAAACCCACTTGGTGTAAGGCTACACGTGCATATCTTACGAAACCCACTTGGTGTAAGGCTACACGTGTATATCTTATGAAACCCACTTGGTGTAAGGCTACACGTGCATATCTTATGAAACCCACTTGGTGTAACGCTACACGTGCATATCTTACGAAAAACACGCGCATGTCTAATTTAACCCTCTTGTTGTAACGCTAAAGGCATTCATTTTAAAAAAACAATGTAACTTTACACGCATATATTTTATAGAGACCCAACAATGTAACGCTTCACGCGTATGTTTTATAGAAAATAACACGGTGTATGTTTTCTATAACCCCAGGTTTTAATGATATACGTGTGTGTGCCATATGTCCCTTTTGGTGTAACGCTACACTTGTACATGTGTGTCTCATATAACCCCAGGTGTTAGTTATACACTTGTATGTCTCATATACCCATTTAGTGTAACTCTGTGCGTGTTTTTCAGGGTTTGCGTTCGATCTTTCCATGGATACACAAAAAGGAAACGGACAAAAACGTATATTGCTGAACTCCACACAGGGCTACGTGGGCTTCATATCTGATGTAATAACCGCAAAAAGCCAAACAGAAGTGTGCCGGGAGTTTCAAGCAATCAGCGAAAATGTAAGATAAGTTTTGTGCATCTTGTTTCAGCTTCACCCGCCAATGAATGACGATTTGGAACAGACATTTTCGCTTTGTATCAGGGTGATGCCAGTTTACTATCTATTGCCAGTCAGCCTGACCACCCGATCCCTTTAGTCGCCTCTTACGACAAGCATGGGTTACTGAAGGTTCATTCTAACCCGGAGCTTCACGGGTTGCTTATGAAACTGCGCGATACACTTTAATATACTCTCCCAAAAAAGAAACGCAAATAGGAATTTCAACTGTATTTTTATGTTTATTTTGAAACATCTTGTAGGCTTTATGAGTCAAATGAAATATAGCGAAATTGCACACTGGGAATGCAGACTTATCCGTCTTTGGCACCAACTCGAGGAAAGTCGGTTTGAGTATCACATGGAGACGTGTGGTGGCGCTGAAGTCAGTACCTCGTGTGACCACCGTGGGCATCCAGAACTGCACGGCATTGCCTCGGCATCGAACGAATAAGTCTCAGAATCTCGCGTTGCCCAATCGCAGCCCACTCTGCCTGTAGTGCCTGTACGAGTTGTTGAAGTGTCTGGGGCTGAGGGTTACGGCGTCCCACCCGTCTGTCCAGGGCATCCCACATATGTTTGATCGGGTTTAAGTCCGGTGATCTTGAGGGCCAGGGGAGCACATTGATGTTGTGGTTCTGGAGGAAGTCTCTAGTGTGACGTGCTGTGTGGGGCCTGGCATTGTCCTGTTGAAACAACTCCTTCTGGCGATCAATGATTGGAAGGAGGTGTGGGCGTAGGATTTCGTCACAGTACCGTTGAGCTGCCAGGTTGCCCTGGATCATCACCAAATCACTTCTCCTACGGCAGGTTATCCCCCCCCACATCATAACACTTTCCCGGCCGAATCTGTCCACCTGGGGAACGCAAGCGTCGGCGAAACATTCACGTCGATGTCTCTACACCCGCATTCTTCCATCGCGTCGTTCCAATAGAAATCGTGATTCATCACTGAACCAGATTCTACGCCAATTCAGTAGGTTCCAGGCCTGAACGTTGGTGCACCATTGAACTCGATGTCGACGATGGTGTTGTCGAAGCACAGGGCCAAAATAAGGTCTTCTGGCACGTAAACCAGCCTCTCTCAACCTGTTCCTGACGGTCTCAGAAAGCCTCCTCAATCCGGGTATTTGTCGAGCGGTATTGGTCGCCGTGATGTACCCGGATGCAGCGATCCTGCGCTGCAGTGGTCGCTCGAGGTCGCCCACTACGAGGGGCATCTGCTACCGAATTCTGCCGGCGATATCTCTCCCAGAGCCGTGAAATGGTGCTTTGGTGAACATTCATGCGTCGGGCAACTGCACGTGAAGACTGGCCAGCTTCAAGCAAACCAATGACGATATGACGGTTGGCTTCACTTAGACGTGGCATTTTGCGTTCGTCAACAATATTCCAAATACAGTGAATAATCGACAGACAGCGATCCACCTTTTATACCCATCATTGAGACTATCTGATCCCCAACTTTCACGTGCATTGCATGTGAATTGTGTATTCTGTGACACTACACGCCGAAATTGAAAATCATCCTGTTAAATACGGGTATTTTACGGATGGTTCGTTTTGTTGTGATGTTTCAAAACATAAACACCATGGGACTGATAAACAGAGCAAAACCTTTTGTAAAATGAATCACATTTTAATTCATTGCTACATGAAATTGCTTTTTTCATGATGCGTTTCTTTTTTTGGAGAGTATACTTTACAATATTAATGTCATTATCATCGCATTTAATTATTGATTATCATTTCTGTACGGATCTTTGTAGAAACGCGCAGATAAGGATCCGTTCACTGTGGTCCGTGTGGAGGCCACGTACCAACTCCCACAACCGGCGGATCCCAACTCCGACATCCAGCCGGTCACCAACAAGTCACGACCCGACAAACTCACCAAGGACGTGAGTGGTTAATAGTAATTCAATGTACTCATGGAAAACCAACATGTACTAAATTTCTAAGAGCACCTTGCACCTTGCGTTATCATTGATGAAGTTACAATGTATCCAAAACGAAGTTTGTCTGAGAATAAAAAGTGACTTGACATTGCGGGTAGGTATAACTTGATCAAGGTACTTTTTTTATATTAATTTGTACTGCTGAAATAGATTTATTTCATTCATAACAATAGTGTTTTTTATGCACTTGCATAAATGGATCTTTATGATTTATTCATAACAGTTTGTTTTCTATTGAACTGGCTAACATTCAACTACTATTCATTCATAACGATATGTTTTCTAACTGCACCAGCTGATAATGAGCTATATGGTTTATTATTATCGATATATATTATTCTTGAACTTGGTAATGAAGATACCTGTGAAGATCCGGGTTAGTATTGATCTTCAGTAACCCATGCTTGTCGTAAAAGGCGACTAATGAGATTGGGTCGTCAGACTCGCTGACTTGGTTGGCACATGTCATCGTAACCCAATTGCGTAGATCGATGCTCATGTTAATCACTTGAGTTTCTGGTCCAGGCACCATTTTACAGGCCGCCCCTATATATCTGGAATATTGCTGAGTGCGACGTTAAACAACAAAGCAATCAACCAAAGCCTTCTTTTTGCACATGTTGTTAGACACAATATAACACTTGCTAGCCTAAGCCTATTTTGTAAGCTTCATTACTGATTCTTGTTGGTGCATATTATGGTCAAAGTTTACTGACCTTGCATCTGTACAGTCATTGAATTTGTACTGCTACTCTATTTGGTAGTGGCATTGACATTCATTTCTAGTAATCTGTTATTTTATAAACCTAGTTTATCATAGTAATAACACACTTGTTAATTTCTAAAAATTCCTTGATATTTATTGGCTCCATACTGAATTCTTGACACGTAATGATTGCCATAATATATAGAGATTATTACACGAGCAAGTGTGTCATGAGTTTCACGAGTTTCTTATTGGTCATATGACACACTCGCTCGTGTGTAATTCCTTTATTATCCATTTTATGTACATTTGTGCAGTAAAACACGGTAAGCAAGTGTGACGGCTCTCTTCATGAACGTTACGTTCAATTGTTTAATGACGTCACAGACGACGAAATACAGAAACAATGGCTTCTTGGCAAAAATGATATGTGCACATTTGCGCATATGATATATATGACACTGGTTATGTTTCACCATATGGTTAATAAATATTTTTATAATTCAGTAATAACAGCATTATTTATCAAAGTTGCAATTTTGTAATTGTCCCTTACAGTCGAGGTTTAGATCTGATAAATGTATTCAAACCTTACATGTAGTTCCTGTAATTGAAAATGAATGAAAGAATTAATGAATGAGTATGATTTTACGCCGCTTTTAGCAATATTCCAGCAATACAATGGCGGGGGGACACCAGAAATGGGCTTCACACATTGTACCCATGTGGGGAATCGAACCCGGGATCTTCGGCGTGACGAGCTAACACTATAACCACTAGGCTACCTCACCGCCCCGAAAATAATTCTAGTGAGATTTAATAGCCAACATAAAAATTTGACTGCTTCACAATTCACTCCATTTTGTTTATCTTTTGTTGTATTTTCTTCCCAGGTGGCCTTTCAACTTGAATGTGGTGACGACAACCAGTGCTGGTCAGACCTCGTCCTTGACCTGTATGCACGTATCAATAACGAGGATGGGGCCGTTATTAGGGAGGATTTGAACAAGGATATCGTTATCAATGCTACAAAAGGCCTGGTGCTTGACGTGGCTGTCAGGAACGACAAGGAAACGGCATTTGCCACAGTCATATATGTCACCTGGTATGGGAGCGTGGCAATACAGACGACAGAATCATCGCCACAACAACCTGTCATCTGCGACGGAGACCCTGAGGAAATGGGAGTTTCCCGATATCGGCTGAAATGTGACGTTCTTCTTCCGGTGTATTCCAACGCGAAATTTGCCTTTAACGTCTTCTACAGAGCCGATAGTATAAGGACGGATATGTCTCCTCTACAATTTAACGTCTCTGTGCAGACCGGAAGTAACGAGACGACACCGGATAACAACAAAGCCAGTCTAACTACTCGCGTCTGGATCGATGCTCAAACAGGAATCAATGGGTAACTGCTTGTCTGTCGCACAGTCCCTGAACCACATTATTTTCCCTTATGCCTAACCCTCCCTGAAATGCTAAGCCCTGAATGAAGCAAGTCTAGACTTCCTCAGGTTCAGAATCCCCATCTCACTGGGCTCCTTTTCAATGTAAATGTGATTATTTTTCACTATCAAAATCATGTATTGCCATAATATATCTTACAATTTGGATAGGAAGTATAAGCGTGAACAAACCTTTCAAGGACAGACGTTTTATGAACACACCACCATTTCTCTTTATCACCACCTCTAAACACAACGCATTGGATGCATGCGCACAACGCAGTAGCCCCATACACGTACATGGGGTGTCATTCTTGATTTTGACGGTTTCCAAGAAGGTCGATAAATCACTGTAGACCAATCATCTTGCATCACACAGTTGTTAGTGTTTGTTTCTAGCTTTTGTTTGAAAATGAAAATCGTGCACATGAAAATTTCACGTCATACACCAATCATCTTTCAAGTGCGATTACTGGACGAACAACTATGGTCATAAGGAGAGAGTGAGTGGGTTACTTTTACGCCGCAATGAGCAATATTCCAGCTGTATATGGCGGCAGTCTGTAAATAATCAGAGTCTGGACCAGACAATCCAGTGATCAACAGCATGAGCATCGATCTGCGCATTTGAGAACCGATGACATGTGTCAACCAAGTCAGCGAGCCTGACCACCCGATCCCGTTAGTCGCTTCTTATGACAAGCATGGGTTACTGAAGATTCATTCTAACCCGGACCTTCACGGGTACGTAATAAGGAAGTGCAAGTGGTGATGCACTCTCAAACCATTCAGTATTATCATGTCAACATTGATTGACTCCGATATATTTCCCAGTCTTTTAAATTGTAAAGGAAAAATGAAGTTCTCCTACTTTTTTTAAGAGTATATTATCAACATCTCTCAGTCCCTAATATTCGTTATGACCAAAATATACGCCTAAAGCACAGGTGTATGGAAACACACATGTATATGACATATCTTTTTGTGCACTCCAGAAACTCCGATCCCCACCAAATTCTGGTACGGATGGATGAACTGGACAAAACCAAGGTTACCATGGGGCACAAATACGTCATCAAGAACGCTGGCCCCAGTTTCTTGCCGCACACACGTGTCTCCGTCAACCTTCCATACTTCAACCAGAAGAAGGAGGCGCTAGTGGAGGCAGTAGACATCAGGGTAAGGACTCGATGTGAGGTGTGCTGCTCTGCCTGATGAATGTAAGGAGTATGAGATGTAAGAAAGGGGCGGATCTCAGGGTAAGGACTCGATGTGAGGTGTGCAATGTAAGGAGTATGAGATGTAAGAAAGGGGCGGATCTCAGAGTAAGGACTCGATGTGAGGTGTGCTGCTCTGCCTGATGAATGTAAGGAGTATGAGATGTAAGAAAGAGGCGGATCTCAGGGTATGGACTCGATGTGAGGTGTACTGCTCTGCCTGATGAATGTAGGAATCATGATATGTTACAAAGGAGTAGATCTCAGGGTAATTGCTCGGTGGGAGGTGTACAGATCTGTCTGGTGAATGTAGGAATCATGATATGTAACAAAGGAGTAGATCTCAGGGTAATTGCTCGGTGGGAGGTGTACAGATCTGTCTGATGAATGTAGGAATCATGATATGTTACAAAGGAGTAGATCTCAGGGTAATTGCTCGGTGGGAGGTGTACAGATCTGTCTGGTGAATGTAAGAATCATGATATGTAACAAAGGAGTAGATCTCAGGGTAAGGGGTAATTGCTCGGTGGATCTTAGGATAAGTGCTCGGTGGGAGGTTTGCAGATCTGTCTGATAAATGTGAGAAGCGTGAGATTTAACAAAGGAGTAGATCTTAGGATAAGTGCTCGGTGCAAGGTTTGCAGATCTGTCTGATAAAAGTGAGAAGCGTGAGATTTAACAAAGGAGTAGATCTTAGGATAAGTGCTCGGTGCAAAGTTTGCAGATCTGTCTGATAAATGTGAGAAGCGTGAGATTTAACAAAGGAGTAGATCTTAGGATAAGTGTTCGGTGCAAGGTTTGCAGATCTGTCTGATAAATGTGAGAAGCGTGAGATTTAACAAAAGAGTAGATCTTAGGATAAGTGCTCGGTGTAAGGTTTGCAGATCTGTCTGATAAATGGTGAGAAGCGTGAGATTTAACAAAGGAGTAGATCTTAAGATAAGTGCTCGATGCAAGGTTTGCAGATCTGTCTGATAAATGTGAGAAGCGTGAGATTTAACAAAGGAGTAGATCTTAGGATAAGTGTTCGGTGCAAGGTTTGCAGATCTGTCTGATTAATGTGAGAAGCGTGAGATTTAACAAAGGAGTAGATCTTAGGATAAGTGCTCGGTGCAAGGTTTGCAGATCTGTCAGATAAAAGTGAGAAGCGTGAGATTTAACAAAGGAGTAGATCTTAGGATAAGTGTTCGGTGCAAGGTTTGCAGATCTGTCTGATTAATGTGAGAAGCGTGAGATTTAACAAAGGAGTAGATCTTAGGATAAGTGCTCGGTGCAAAGTTTGCAGATCTGTCTGATAAATGTGAGAAGCGTGAGATTTAACAAAGGAGTAGATCTCAGGGTAAGTGCTCGGTGCAAAGTTTGCAGATCTTTCTGATAAATGTGAGAAGCGTGAGATTTAACAAAGGAGTAGATCTTAAGATAAGTGCTCGGTGCAAGGTTTGCAGATCTGTCTGATAAATGTGAGAAGCGTGAGATTTAACAAAGGAGTAGATCTTAAGATAAGTGCTCGGTGCAAGGTTTGCAGATCTGTCTGATAAATGTGAGAACCGTGAGATTTAACAAAGGTGTGGATCTGAGGGTAAGTGCTCGGTGTGAGGTTTGCTGGTCCATCTGTTTCTTCCCAGCTCGAGGTATGGAAGGAGCCTTCCTCTGGTGTATATCAAAGGAACGGATTGTAAACACACTCATCTATCTTTTTCCAAAGCTTATACAAGAGGATGGAACCAGCGTTGCCTGTCCACAATACCATGAAAGTGAAGGTATCGGCCAAAATACAACCACATCTCCGACCACGACTACGACTACGACTGAGTCAGGAGAGAGAACTACCGCCAACCTACCTCCCATGCCACCTTCAAGTTTAAAAGAGAAACCGCTGGCCGTCTCAAGAAACATCGGTAGCAACGTCATTCGCATGGTAACTGGACTGACGCAGTCTCTAAAATTGTACTCAAATGCACTCAAATGCAATCAAACATCATCACGTGTGTAAGGTGATGCTTTGATGTTGTGTTATTTTGTTATCAAAATAATAATAACGATGATGATAATAATGTCAAAATACACTCGACTCAGGCAGTTATGGGAGCGGTGGGGTAGCCTAGTGGTTAAAGCGTTCGCTCCTCACGCCGAAGACCTGGGTTTGCTTCCCCACATGGGTATAATCTATGAAGCCCATTTCTGGCGTCCCCCGCCGTGATACTGATGGAATATTAAAGCCGGCATAATATCATACTCGTCCATATCTATAATGCGTTGTTTGAAAATACATCTGTACTACTCCCACACTCATACTCACTCACTCACTTCAGTATGCTCAAAGCGTCTTGTACGGTAGAGGTTTCAGGGACTGTAATATCGACAAAAGAGTTGAATGTTGGTCCTGAGTTTGCCCCTACTTTCAACACGGAGGCAATGTTAAAGCTGGTAAAAGATTGAACTAAAATCCCTCTTGTTTTAAATCTGCCTTATGTTTTAAATTATTGAAGAACCCGTATCATAACACACGCGTTGCTGTCATTTGTAAAACATCCAAAGACGGTTAGTGATTGAAGATTTGTGTGATTGTCTGCTTTACAGGACTGTGTCGACTTCAAGTGCGTTGAGTACACCTGTCCCCTGCATCATCTCAGCCCGGGGAGTAGTGCCATCGTCAACATCACCGTCTGGATCCCAGGAAGCAAACTCCCCTTTCAAGATGTGGGTAACTTCGTGCTCAAATTGGGACGGTGGGGTAGCCTAGTGGTTAAAGCGTTCGCTCTTCACGCCGATGATCCGGGTTCAATTGCACACATGGGTACAACGTGTGAAGCCCATTCCTGGTGTCCCCCGCTGTGGTATTGCTGTAATATTGCTAAAGGCGGCGTAAAAGTAAACTCACTCAAACTTCCCTTTTATGATGTAAGTAGCTTAATGCTCATATTTGGTTTGTAATCTTGATGTTGACCGCCAATTAGAAAAGTCGACAGTTGTTTAGGGACAATCCTCCTGTACCCAGTTGCACAAAGTCTTCAAACTGCCCTTTTATTAATTGGGTAATTTCGTGCTCATATTTGGTTTGTATTCTACATGTGGTTGATCTTCAGTTGGTAAGGTCGACAGTTGCTAAGAAGAAACCTTCCTGGACCCACTTGCACTAATTGTTCACAGCGCTAAGATGATCCATGGCCAATAAAGTATGGATGTAACGATCACCTTAAGTCTAAAATCGCTTTGTGAAACTCCTGGAGCGCGCGCGCGTGCGTGCGTGCGTGCTTGTGTTTTCATGTGTGTGGGACGTATTTCTCTGACGTGTGTACAGTGTGTGTTGTGTGCGTGCGTGTGTGTGTGTGTGTCTGTTTGTGTGTTGACTGCATCGTACATGCCCCAGTTGTCCAATTCGCTGTACATGTAATCAAGATGATATATGAACAGCTAGGCTGATGTCGCACCGTAATCTATCGCAAGTTTTGTAACTTGTGGAGCAGACGATTAAATATTCATGGCACTAGTTGAGGGAATATAATAACGCGCTTTTCCAGGCATCAGTGTTTTGTTGTGTCACTCGTAGCTGTTCGTAGTTGACGATGTTGCATTGCTGATGTCGTACTATGCACACGTACAGCTCTTTGTCAGTTAACGAAAATACATCGTGCTTTAACATCATTCCAGCGGGTTGACTTCCTGAGGTACTACACTGAAGCCACCGTGATCCAACCTGACCACCCCCTGCTCTACCCCTGGGGACAGGCTGTCGAGACGAAGGTAAGAGGGGGACATCCCGCCCGGTCCTCCTGTACACATCCCTTACATAACATCGACCGAAACCAATCATGTCGGTATCTACAACAGGTCTTATACGTCGGTAGCAGGATACGCTAATCGTTATGCTGACTCAACACAGATAAGAAGGAAAAGATTGTCCAACACTATGGTGGTGCGCACTCTTGAAAATTGGGGGCGCACACTTCATTTCCACGAGAGTTTCAATGATGGTCATTTAAAAAACTTTCAGGACAAAAGGGGGGGGGGGGGGGAAAGAGTGTGTCCGGATTTCTTGCCAGGAACACAGCCCTTCTGACACTGAGGTAAATGCCGAAGTCTGCGGGGAGTGTTCGGGGAGTCTACATATTCCCGAAACGTTTTCTGTGGGTTTGACTGGCCAGCGCTTCCAGTGAGAAGTTTGGTTCACTGTCTGGGATGCGTGCAAAGGGGGCTACAAAGGCAATGAGCTGATGATGAGCCTTACCAGCCTGACTGTGCCAGGATCACCCACACCCTCTTTTCTACATTTATGTATTTTAATCTGTTAATATCAACCATCATCATCATCATCATCATCATCATCATCATTATCATCATGTGTCATGATCTGACACAACCCAACTAAACCTTCCCTTGATTACAGGTAATGACGCCAATCTACCCCGAAAATCCACCCGGCAAAGTCAACATCTGGATCATCATCGGCAGCGTCCTTGCCGCCATCGTCATCCTCATCATAATCTTCATCGTGCTGTGGAAGGTACATTGTCCGGCCTGAAAATTGTTCATCGTTGTAGTTGTCCGGCCTGAAAATTGTTCAACGTTGTAATTGACGGGACCGTAAATTGTTCAACATTGTAGCTGTCTGGTCTGTAAATTGTTCAACATTATAGTTGTCTGGTCTGTATTTTATTCAACATTGTAGTTGTCTGGCCTGTAAATTGTTCAACATTGTAGTTGTCTGGTCTGTAAATTGTTCAACGTTATAGTTGTCTGGTCTGTAAATTGTTCAACATTGTAGTTGTCTGGTCTGTATATTGTTCAACATTATAGTTGTCTGGTCTGTAAATTGTTCAACATTGTAGTTGTCTGGCCTGTAAATTGTTCAACATTGTAGTTGTCAGGTCTGTAAATTGTTCACCGTTATAGTTGTCTGGTCTGTAAATTGTTCAACATTGTAGTTGTCTGGTCTGTAAATTGTTCAACATTATAGTGGTCTGGTCTGTAAATTGTTCAACATTGTAGTTGTCTGGTCTGTATATTGTTCAACATTATAGTTGTCTGGCCTGTAAATTGTTCAACATTGCAGTTGTCTGGTCTGTATATTGTTCAACATTATAGTTGTCTGGTCCGTAAAGTGTTCAACGTTGTAATAGTCTGGTCTGTAAATTGTTCAACGTTGTAGGTAACGGGACCGTAAAGTGTTCAACATTGCAGTTGTCTCGTCTGTAAATTGTTCAACATTGCAGTTGTCTGGTCTGTAAATTGTTAAACATTGTAGCTGTCTGGTCTGTATATTGTTCAACGTTGTAGTTGACGGGACCGTAAATTGTTCAACGTTGTAGTTGTCTCGTCTGTAAACTGTTCAACGTTGTAGTTGACGGGACCGTAAATTGTTTAACATTGTAGTTGTCTGGTCTGTATATTGTTCAACATTGTAGTTGTCTGGTCCGTAAATTGTTCAACATTGCAGTTGTCTCGTCTGTAAATTGTTCAACATTGTAGTTGACGGGACCGTAAATTGTTCAACATTGTAGTTGTCTCGTCTGTAAACTGTTCAACGTTGTAGTTGACGGGACCGTAAATTGTTCAACGTTGTAGTTGTCTGGACTGTAAATTGTTCAATGTTGTAGTTGTCTGGACCGTAAATTGTTAAACGTTGTAGTTGTCTGGCCTGTAAATTGTTCAACATCGCAGTTGTCTCGTCTGTAAATTGTTCAACATTGCAGTTGTCTGGTCTGTAAATTGTTCAACATTGTAGTTGTCTGGTCTGTATATTGTTCAACGTTGTAGTTGACGGGACCGTAAATTGTTCAACATTGTAGTTGTCTCGTCTGTAAACTGTTCAACGTTGTAGTTGACGGGACCGTAAATTGTTCAACATTGTAGTTGTCTGGTCTGTATATTGTTCAACATTGTAGTTGTCTGGTCCGTAAATTGTTCAACATTGCAGTTGTCTCGTCTGTAAATTGTTCAACATTGTAGTTGACGGGACCGTAAATTGTTCAACATTGTAGTTGTCTCGTCTGTAAACTGTTCAACGTTGTAGTTGTCGGGACCGTAAATTGTTCAACGTTGTAGTTGTCTGGACTGTAAATTGTTCAACGTTGTAGTTGTCTGGCCTGTAAATTGTTCAACATCGCAGTTGTCTCGTCTGTAAATTGTTCAACATTGTAGTTGACGGGACCGTAAATTGTTCAACATTGCAGTTGTCTCGTCTGTAAATTGTTCAACATTGTAGTTGTCTGGCCTGTTTATTGTTCAACGTTGTAGTTGTCTCGTCTGTAAATTGTTCAACATTATAGTTGTCTCGTCTGTAAACTGTTCAACGTAGTAGTTGACGGGACCGTAAATTGTTCAACGTTGTAGTTGTCTGGCCTGTAAATGTTCAACATTGTAGTTGTCTGGCCTGTAAATTGTTCAACGTTGTAGTTGACGGGACCGTAAATTGTTCAACGTTGTAGTTGTCTGGCCTGTAAATTGTTCAACGTTGTAGTTGTCTGGCCTGTAAATTGTTCAACATTGTAGTTGTCTGGTCTGTAAATTGTTCAACGTTGTAGTTGTCTGGTCTGTAAAGTTGTCAACGTTGGAGTTGTCTGGAATACCAACCGCAATAACAAGATATTTAACTGTAACAGACAACCAACCATTCGTACCATATTTCCTATCATAGTGAATGAAACTGGATTTTAATCTTAGCTTGGAAAGACAAACATGAACTCCCTTTAAGTCCATATTTATCGACTTCATTTTATATGATTGTCCCTTAAGACCCTATAAACTAACAATGTGTTTCCAGTGCGGCTTTTTCAAGAGGGAGAAAAAGGCAAGGTGCAGAAATGGAAGCGAGAGAGTGGTTACTACGGGAGAAACCAATCACGTGCTCCACGAAACAGCAAAGCCCCAGAAGACGCCAAAGAGAGTCCAGAAGAGTCCAACGAAAGCCCCATGGAGTCGGCCAAAGATGAAAATGGAGCCATGCCATCATAAAGAACAATAGATATTTAAAAAAATATTTTCTTTAAAATAATGGAAAGCAAAAACTTTGTCTAGGTTTTTACACATAATACCTTTTGTCCAGCAAACAATGTTGCAATGAAAGAAAATGTTTAGTCTCTCCTCTCAAAGAGGAAAATGTTAAAAAGCAACAAAATATTGTACTAAAGAAAACGTCCCTAAACCTATTTATGGTGTACTCAAATGTTCAAAAAAGAAAAGAATGTAACAAAAGCTAAAATATTCTTATAAAAAATATGCAATCCTCACTAAACCTATTTAGGGTGTACACAATATGAATAACTGAACTGTTCAATTTCTCCTTGAAAAGAAAAGAATGTAAAAAAACTAAATACTCTTCTAAAAAACGTCCTCACTAAACCTATTCAGTGTGGACACAGTGTGCTCGACATAATGAGAGTTCAAGAGACAGTGGAAGCAATTTACGACTTCGCTTACTTATATATGCTTGTAAATCCCACCTTTGCATATGGCTAAACAGTTATTGTAAACATTTGAATCATTCTGTACCAACACACATTTCCACAATGAATCCACGTAAATGCATATCTAACATAAGTTTCCATAAATTTAGGTCGACATTTACATGCTGATCTAAAGATCATGTATTCACAGAATGGACGTCTCCCCTTTAATAAATAAAAATATCATTTACTATATCTACATTATATCTGTATAGGGAGTATTTACAACATATGATTGCTACTAATATATGTCACTGATTAAATATTTGGTATTAGCTATGTAAATAAAACAAATATAATTTACTTTCGTTTTACCGTGTGTTCTTGTGCAGTAAATATTCAAGGGTCTAGTACAGTCAGCCCATCATGACTGTCATGTGATGCCGCATCCAAACTGCCAGCGTCGGATAATCCCCGGATATAGATTAACAAACCTCTTCAGCGTTGTCAGCTACAACAGCAACGTCGTTACTGATGTCTAACATCGTCACTAAAAGTATTCAGACTAGTATTCACAAACAAGTAGTGCACATACACAGAGTGAGCGAGTTTAGTTTTACGCCGCTTTTAGCAATATTCCAGCAATATCACTTCGGGGGGACACCAGAAATGGGCTTCAAACATTGAACCCAGGGTACACAGAACCCGGTTTACGGCGTGACGAGCGAACGCTTTAACCACTAGGCTACCCCACCGCCCCCTCATACACAGAAACCATTACGACTAGTATTCACAAACAAGCAAGTCAAAACATTGATTACACAACAGTCTCGTTTCCTGTTGACTGGGTTTCGTCCTATTGCGCAACATAGTACAATGACCAGTCCAGAATTTTTAGACCAATTCATTCAACTGGATACATAAATATTAATCAGTATTATTTGATACATCTAATCACTTGTATATTGAAACACTACGCCCCTTCCAATCCTTACAGACACGTCCTACAGCGTGCTCTGTCGTACAGCGTGCTCTGACAGACAGAAATCTGGAAATCGTGGAAATCCCAAAACGAGGCTCTGCCGCTACAAAAGTTTGGCGGTCTGATAGACTTGATATTATATCAATCAGATTGTGCGTTACAAAACTACACAGAATAAGCACCAAGAAAACACATAACAGGTGTCCCTAGTGAGCCAGATGAATTGTGAATTATTTTACGACCTCATCAAACTGGGCCAGTCTGTGACGTCTTAGTTAAGGTCATGCTGCATACACCTCGCCATAAAAAATAGAAATACGATGTTATTAAAGTTTGAAATTAAAATTAACTTCTTATGAAACAAGGAATTGGAATTCAGTGTAACCATAGTTGTTTGTGGTGTCTCTTCTCACTTTTACACGAGAGTATTCGGATCGGCTGAAAATGTCTGAATAGGTTAGTGAGACTCATGTTTCGGTTTGATAATTCATACACAGAAACCATTATGACTAGTATTCACAAACAAGTATTATTCATACTCCAAACTCACACCAAGAAGCCATTACGATAAGCATTCACAACCAAGTACTCTTTATAAACAGAAACCTTTGTGACTAGCATTCACAACCCGGTATAACTCATACACGGAAGCCATTACGATAAGCATTCACAACCAGGTATTACTCATACACGGAAGCCATTACGATAAGCATTCACAACAAGGCATTACTCATACACGGAAGCCATTACGATAAGCATTCACAACAAGGTATTACTCATACACGGAAGGAAGCCATTACGATAAGCATTCACAACCAGGTATTACTCATACACGGAAGCCATTACGATAAGCATTCACAACCCGGTATTACTCATACACGGAAGCCATTACGATAAGCATTCACAACCCGGTATTACTCATACACGGAAGCCATTACGATAATTCACAACATTTACTCACAAACATAAGCATTATTACTCATACACGGAAGCCATTACGATAAGCATTCACAAACAAGTATTACTCATACATACACGAAGCCATTACGATAAGCATTCACAACAGGTATTACTCATACACGGAAGCCATTACGATAAGCATTCACAACCAGGTATTACTCATACACGGAAGCCATTACGATAAGCATTCACAACCAGGTATTACTCATACACGGAAGCCATTACGATAAGCATTCACAAACAAGTATTACTCATACACGGAAGCCATTACGATAAGCATTCACAAACAAGTATTACTCATACACGGAAGCCATTACGATAAGCATTCACAACAGGTATTACTCATACACGGAAGCCATTACGATAAGCATTCACAACCAGGTATTACTCATACACGGAAGCCATTACGATAAGCATTCACAACCAGGTATTACTCATACACGGAAGCCATTACGATAAGCATTCACAACCAGGTATTACTCATACACAGCAGCTACTGTGGTCACGGAGTCCGCCTCCAAACAGTGTTTATACACACAGAGTGTCCACATCCCAAACCACGTGGATTTGAAAACACCCACATCAGGTCCAGTGACTAGAAACACAAGGCGACATTCAGATAAACAGCTGTGAAACCAGAAACTACCACGCCAGAAAATACGCTGTCTCGATTATCTGAAACAGAGTCTGCTTTGAGCGGCATTTAGAAGCTGGTATGATGAACAGGGACGATTTTGGACAGACAGCTTCTTTATTGCAAGGGATGCGACGTTTCGGTGTAGATGGTAGCACCGTTATCAAGCAAGAGATACACAACGTTATGGACAAGGGCGCAAAAGGCAAAATAGTTGTGAAAACTGGGTGACTGTCCTACATATTCAGCTCCAAAGAATGAGTGCTGAATTTAAGTACTTGGTGGATAGCGCAGAAGATGACTCCAGATATGGTCGTCCTGTAAACGCTTGCGAAACGAGTGGAGGTTGTCCACTACACGGGTATGGCTGCAGGCGATGGCGTTGTTATAAGGACGTGGAGCGATGGGTGAAGCTTTCGCTCGTCACGCCTAGGTTCGATTCCCCACATGGATACAAAGTGTGATAATTAATCAGGGTTAGAATTGGTCTTCATTTACCCATGCTTATCGTAAGAGACGACTGACGGGATCGGGTGGTCAGGCTCGCTGGCTTGGTTGACAAATGTCATCGTATCCCAACTGCGTAGATCGATGTTCATGATGTTGATTACTGGAGTGTCTGGTCCTGACTCGATTTTTACACATACGGTTGGAATATTGCCGAGTGCAGCGTTAAACAACAAACAAACAAAGGCAAAAAACATGGGTATAATGTATGAAGGCTTTTACTGGGGTACCCCACCTTGATATTGCTGGAATATTGCCAAAATGGCACAAGACAATACCCACTCACTAATATGCAATATATGGCTCACACTATTAATGTGGAGACAGCACAGCCCGTCTCAACTGACCACATAAACAAGTTGTCCGCGACACCTACTATGACACATTGATGATGAGAAGCTGACGAGCTCAACGTGTCATGGGATCTTTGACCAGTTATTAAGAGAACCCCGATACAAGGCAATTTATAGAATGATACCTTGTCTAATATTGTCCAAACATCAAAGAAAACTTTATGAACGTTTGCCCTTACCCTCAAAGAAGACCTTCAAGGCACAGGCCCTCGTGTCTTTGCGAGGATTAAATATGTTAAAAACACATAAAACATTTGAGATGACCCCCGACTCGAAATGCTTCACAGTACAATACATTATGATAGTATGTGTGGAATTGAACCCGGGCCTTAGGCAAGACGAGCGAACCACTAGGCTACCCACCGCCCCGAGAATGCCAACACCGTTCCCCGGACGTATTTATTGGCCCAGGCCCCACGTGTTATCGCCAATATGACCGGGACTCCCATACATCAACACAAACCATTCAGGACTCCCAGACATCAACACAAACCACTCAGGACTCCTTCAAATCAACAAAAACCACTCAGGGACTCCCATCACATCAACACAAACCATTCAGGACTCAACACATCAACACAAACCATACCAGGGACTCCACTCCCACATCAACACAAACCATTCAGGACTCCCATACATCAACACAAACCATTCAGGACTCAACACCCATTCAGGACTCCCATACATCAAAACCATTCAAACCATTCAGGACTCCCATTCAAACATCAACTCCCACACAAACCATCCTCACATCAGGGACTCCCACACATCAACAAAACCATTCAGGACTCACAAACCATTCAGGACTCCCTCACATCAACACAAACCATTCAGGACTCCCAACACAAACCATTCAGGAATCCCCATACATCAACACAAACCATACAGGACTCCCATTCAGGACATCAACACAAACCATACAGGAATCCCACATATCAACACAAACCATTCAGGACTCCTCACATCAACACAAACCATTCAGGACTCCCTCACATCAGCACAAACCATTCAGGACCCTCCAACACAAACCATTCAGGACTCCCACACATCATCACTCCCTCACATCAACAAGGACTCCTACATTCAGGAGTCCCATACATCAACACAAAACCATTCAGGACTCCCTCACATCAACAAAAACCATTCAGGACTCTCATACAGCAACACAAACCATTCAGGACTCCCTCACATCAACACAAACCATTCAGGACTCCCTCACATCAGCACAAACCATTCAGGACTCCCTCACATCAACACAAACCATTCAGGCCTCCCATACATCAACACAAACCATACAGGACTCCCATACATCAAAGGAAACCATTCAGGACTCCCATACATCAACACAAACCATACAGGACTCCCAAACATCAACACAAACCATACAGGACTCCCATACATCAACACAAACCATACACGACTCCCATACATCAACACAAACCATACACGACTCCCATACATCAACACAAACCATACAGGCAGATCTCGCACTACATCTGTTACGTAATCGTCCTACAAGCATAGGAACAACAAAACCGGAACTGTTTACAAAATTGTTCAAGTTTATTTCAGACAGGCTATTTAATGTGGTTAAGAAATGACAGAATCTCATCTGACATGTGTTTACTTGGAGACACCCCTCAGTCGCCAGTCTCCAAAATACTCAGGCAAAACATTGATTCCTCAACAAAAGAAAATATTTGAAAAATAAATGATCCTCATGGAATCCATGTAACAATTTATTCTTCCCAAGCGTTTCGTTCTAACAAAATGTTCATTTTATACAGCTGAATTTCCATATACGCTTAAGGGGGCAGAATGCATTTGGTCCAAAAATCCTATTAGTACCATTTTGGATGGAAGAATCTCTATTGTTAACACAGTAACATCTAAAGTATTACCAATAACACATTGAAAAAAAGGAAGA